TCAGGTTGGTTCCCAAGAAACCGACAGGGGCAGGTCAAAGATATTAGCTAAGGGGTGGCCCCTGAATGGCGTAGTGAGCTTTAAGCACTGGCTCCTCCTTCCTGAACCCCTACTTCCAAATCTCTCCATTGTGGGAAAGAACATCCACCTTGGGAAATCTAGCACCTAAGCCTTGTTTTGCTCTTAAAAAGTTAAGAAACTTTTCTCCCATTCATAATTCTGGATTAAACTAAGACTTAATTTACAAAAGAGTAAGTTTATTGTTGTTCCTTTAAAGTTAGAGCTAGGTATAATACTCGGAACTAGCAGGAGAAAGAAACCCTCATAAGGCTTTGGGCCTGCTTTCTGCCAGCCTGCAGAATGACTGTGACTTGGAAATTAAAATGCAAACACGGGGGTAAATGTGAGAGTAGGGACCACACTGTGATCAGAAAGGGGTTAAAACATAACAAGGGCTCATCAAGTAGTCCAGTAGAAAACTACCTTGAAAATGGTCTTCTGCCTGACGGGAAGCTCCTGGAGGCGAACACAGTGGCTGAAGACCCACAAAAATGCAAGGTCAACTCTCTCAGGTCCCATGGCTGAGAACACAAAACTCACCTCAGTCACCACAACATGGGGATGTGACCAGGCAAGTGTGCACCTTTCCACACTATGAGAACTGACCTGTTTCAGGGGAAGATCAAAACTGATGGCCACAGCTGAAAAGCCAGTGACACCTGTGTGTTCCATTTTTAGTGACTGATTACCATCTCCCCGTCAGAGTTACTTCCCACACTGACTTAAAACTTGAGGGACTGTCTAGTTACAACTATTAACAGAGAAAAGTAGGTAGCTATACCTCTTGCAGAACTATCAGTAATTTCCAAGTGAATTCTCTGGAACAATGATGCAACATGGATGACAATGAATTCTGGGGAGAGAATCAGCTTCCCTCTGAGTGGTAATAGGTTTCTGCTTTCTCTTCCCCATCAGGGCCACATCTGCCCTTAAGAGACGAGCAGCCGTTAGCCACTGATTAACTATTAGCTCTTCCCATGGTCAACCCCACACACCATTCCCGGTCCCTGCAGAAATACAGGCCACGTACTCACTGTCTCTATGCCGCTGCTCTTCCGTTAGTGAGGCCTTTCTCTAAGAAACATGACAACAGGACTTGATGCTCTTTCAAAATTTCCCATAGTTTTTATTGGAATGGTGATTAAAAACTGAACAAAAAAATAAAGTATTCCGAGTACTCTAACCAGTGCTGTAATGCTATAAAAAAAAATATGAAAAGGACATCCAGACATGGATGGGGCCATCTCACTCCAAGCCGTGATTCTCAGACCAGTTGTCAGAGAGGAAACAGGGTGGAGTGCTACTCCTGAACACAACCTTCTTCAAGACTCGGAGTGGTGCCTGTCCCCCTCTCAGGTAGGAATCTGTTCCTCTGTGTACCCTACTGTCCTTCTGCCCTTCCAGCCGCCTGGGCAACAGAGAGGCTTAGGGGTGTATGGCTGGTCCGGACGGACATCCTGGGAGAGAAGAGCTCAGGCTCTGGAGAGGGTTCGGTGTGGAGAGGGGAGTGACTCTAGCAAAACACCCCCTCCCATTCTGCTGCCCCACCATACTCCACTAGGGCAGATTCTAGAAAGAGTCCCTGTTACCAGGTGTACCTGACTCCAGAGACTACCAGGAGAAGGTTTTGAAGGGATAGCCAGAGCCTCACATGCTCATATTTCCTGGAGGGCAGATGTTGTTCTTGGTGCCTTTGATTTTCTTCCTTCAGGAAGTCAAGGCTTGAGTAGCATGGGAATGTGGGATGCAAAAACCAACCCAAGTGAGCTGCCTCAGGAGGACTACTGTCCCTAACCTAGCCCCAAATTTAGAAACACAAACTGTTAGGCTGTTCTGTTAGAAACTTTACTTCTGAAATAGGCAGGAATGAATTGGTTACTATTGCTTCTATTCTCACTGCCAGGAAACCCAAAGATACCATTTTTAAATCTTTTTTTAGAAGGACTGAAAAGGAGAGGCACAGTAACAAGCAAAGAAGCTACTGGATGGAAAAATTTGAGAAGCATGTGGTTCAGTTTGTTTTATTTATGTCTGCTTAAGAGTACAAGAGGAGAGCATTACATTAGCTTCTTCGGCTCTCAGGGTAAGAACATTACCTTCCTTATGTCACAGATCCCTCCTAGGACCGTATATAGTGTTGAGGCATTGAGGGCATGCTCCACAAATGCTGAAATAGTTAATAAATGCACAGGCCAAACACCAGTGAAAAGGATCCTAAAACATACTCTTATCACAAGGGACAATCCTAAATAAGGAGTTTGGAGAGAGCATCAGTGATGTAAATATACACGAGCTAATGGGTAAACTGAGGACTGGAGGGGTCAAGCTGCCCATGTAAAACCAGAAACAGAATCCACAGCTCCTAATCTTGGCGTTCTTTCAGTTATACCAAGGGGGCTCATGGAACTTAAAAGGCCAGGGAGCGCTTCACAGAGTTTGGGGTCCAGAAGTTTTTCTACAAGGTGAATATTAAGCCACAGAATACAAAAGGATCCCTATGTTGGCAAAAGGCCTATAGTGGGTGAGAGTCCACTAACCTGGAGTCTTTGGTAAATCTCAACAGAGCCAGCGCCAGCAGGAATTAGAAGGTGGGAGAGAAAATGAAGACGGGGAAGGCTGAAGAATTAAGATGGGAGCAAGGAAAGGATGGAAAGAGAGCAAGCAGGGAAAAGGCAAGAGAAGGCCAAAAATAAACAATTTAACATTGTGTGGTCACTAGGCTATGGTGGGTGCTAATGATTATAAATGGTCATTAGACAAAGCTTCTCCATTTCATTTGTGGCTGTAGCTTATTTCCTCCACGCATCCTGCCAGGGCACTTTCAATCCAAATTCAAAGGGAAGGAGGCCAACAACTCAGTCACCATTACCATTTCCTGTAGCACCTGGGTTCTCCTTGGAGGTTTCCCATTCAAATGCTCAACTTCTCTGACCCTACTTCACTTATGAGGCCATGGTCCAAAGCAGCAAAAAAACATAGGAGACACACATGCGTGGGCACGCACACACACGTATACACACACGCACGCACCCAGAGCCTGGAGGAGATCTGAAAGGAAAAATGCCTCCTCTTTAGCGGTAAACTCGATCTTGATATAAAACCTCAAGATAGGAGGAAAAACATCAGGCAGGTCAGTGCGACAAACCAACGCACACTTAACACTTTCCGTTAAACTCTCACTTGTCCTTTCAGAGGAAGAGGGGGTGGTAAGGCGTTGCCCTGCGCTCACAGGTCAGCCAGGTTCCTTTCCGGCCTCCTGGACCGCCTATAAAAATCTCTTTCCACAAGGGCCGTAGGGGTGCTTTCACTTTCCGCTCAAACCACCTTAAAATGAAACCCACCTCATCTGCAAAATATCCCGGGTCAAGTCTGAGATTTCACCAATCTGTACGTAGGAACTATTCACAAGGATCCCCGGAACAAGAGATCGCTGTCTTGGGTAACTTGGAACTCCAGCTTTCAGATGCAACCCAGATGGGAAAACACACTAACGCAGAAAGCGATGAAGGGCCCCCTTTTTCACATCAAAATTTCACCGTGAGAGTTTCGTCCAATTTCATTTTACATTTGAAGAAAATATTTTTTCCACACTCAACAAGTCACTTTTTGCCTAAGCCTGAATTCTGGATCTTTAAAATCCCCCTAAATTTAAGTCACAAAGACTAGTTAAATTGCATTTCTCCCCCAATTCCACATTTCCTATTCTCGAAATCCTTCCTCTATTTGCTCACCCACAGAAAGATAGAATAGAGCAAGGGTAAATGAGTGAACAGAATTAAAATCTACAGGAACAAAAAGTACAGTTCCTTTTTAGAAACGAAAGGCTTCTTTCTGCATCCAGTTATTTCCTGCCTGAGATTCTGTGGGTAGTGTTAGCAAGGCCAGAAATGCACAGGGTCACCATTCAGCACAGAGTGGGCTCGAGAATAAGGAGACTTCACCATGGATACCGTCTTAGGGCCTCTGAGGGTGACAGAAACAGCCAAAGGGGTGCCTGTTATAGGACGGTCTAGTCCACAGGGTGATCACACATGCCTTTGCGAGAGTGAGACCTCCAGGCATGGCTCCAACTTTCCCACAGAGAACGCTCAACAGGGCAATACCGAAGTACATCCATGGCGTCAAAAAGAAGAAACAAATTATGCTTCCCAAGCCACACTGTGGTTTACCCTATCAAAACCATCTATGCAGAATGGCCCTGAGCAGTCAAGATAACAAAGCAGTCGATCCTTAATACAAATTGATGGCTGGCTAGGCACTAGGGACTCCACAAGAGATAAGACCCTGCCTTTCGATTCTGTAGCGTTTCTTGCAAATAAGCCAAGTAAATATATTTAATGCAATTTAATACAATTCATTACACTACTTTAGCCCGTCTCCCTCTTCCACAGTCAATACTATAGGTTTAAATTTTTCACTACTTACGTTCTTTTTTCCCATGTGTTTAGCACATCTTAAAAAAGAATAAAATGGTATTTGTTCAGCAATTTTATTTTTGAAATGGTGTTTTAGATGGATGGATATGAAAATAGGCTTACCTCATCCCATTCTAAAAGGTAGTTGGTGATTTTTGAACCATTATCAATTGGTGCCTAAAAAAAAGAAAACCAGTAAAATGAGATTAGGGAAAGCAGTTCACAGACAAAACTTACGAGCCCTCCACTTGGTTCAAATACACTACCCACGCTAGCCCTGTGCTGTCCCCTCGGGCGGGTAACCCTGGTGGCTCCTGCGTTTCCCTGGGAAACATTATCACAAATGAATTTTAGTACAATTCAACTGTAGAGAAAGCCCCACTACTAATAAATCATACCCCACAAAGAGCCGAACCTGCTTTCTCCTTTTTACACCCACATGGTGCCCTACTTCCTCTGGGGATAAGACTTTCAAGAGGCACTTTAGGAACAGGGGGAGAAAAAAGGCGGCTGAGAAATGCAGATGCTGCTTGGAGTCCGGCGGTTAAATCTGACTCAGCCAGGTTCAGGGTTTAAGAGTATATGTTTTTTTATAACTTCCTCCACACAGCTTTTTTTTTTTTTTTTTTTTTAAGTGCTTAAGATTAGAAAGCCTTCTGTGCCATTGAGATTTCCCTTTAAAAAAAAAAAAGAGGAGATTCCCCTGGGAGATTCCCAGGAGCAGTTAGCTCTCTGCGTGCTAGCAAAAAGAAGTCTCATCTTTTGCTTTCCTCTTAAAAGCAGGCGGAGATCTACTTCACTGAGAAAACGAGCACTGGGCAACGGGAAGGGGAGAGGAGAACCTTGGAGAAGAGTGCTTTGTGGGGTTAGCCCTGCTAGAAGGGGGTGCTGCCGTGTGGTCCCTCACTGGAGGAGGGTAGTAAGGTGGAGGGTGGGAGGGAGGAGGCAGCTCGAGGGAGGGCTAGACCAGGTCTCCCCACTGCACAAATGTGTCTGGGCCTGACCACCGCCCCCACCTCCCCAGGAAGGAGCAGGAGTCCCACAAACCACTTTTCAGCCCCTAGCAAAAGGCAGCCGGGTCCCCAGAACTGCACCTAAAGCCCAGCTCGGCCGTTTGTCAAGTGTGGGCTTCTGTTAGTCACGTGATATCATTGTTTAATTTCGTGTTCTGAGAATAAATGATGTGATAAGTAATTGGGAGAATATATATAAATCACCTACTCAACTACTGGGCAACTCAGGAAGCACTCGGGGAACAATAGCTGTTGTTTTATTTTTGTGACTAATAAATCATCATCAAGGGCTCGGTAAATACTAGTTAAATTTATCAAGAAACTCTTCTCCCTCCTTTCACCCTCTGGGTCACATCACCCCTGAGTCTCAAACCCAGATTTCAGGGGAGTGCTCTATGTTCTACTGAACTGTAATTTCAGGCTTTGTGGGCTCATTTTGGGAAACAGGGATCTATATGAAGTTCTAAATAACGGACACAATCGAAGTTTTAGATGAGACTCCATTTCTAAGATAAAAACTATGTTTATGATGTTTATAAATTTCTCTAGAGAAACTGTTCTTTCAGTAGTTTCTTCTAGGATATCCTGCCCCACCACCGAGTTCTTAATTCCTTGAGCGTGGGCGCACTGATTTTGGTTTTTGTATTGCCCTATCTCCTGCTGCTGACTAACAAGAAGTGAGAAGATCTTGACTCTCTGTGTGTTTGTGGGTTCAAGGACAGGTGGGCAGTCAGAGCCCTGTGCCCCTGTCCTCGAGCCCCCAGCCGGTGCACTGTGATTAGGAAATCCGTGTTAAGGACATTTAATGAAAACTGAACAGAATCCAGAACTTTCAAGTTTGTACTTGACTTCATGGAATAAGAGTATGTTTCTGATTTATAGTTAAATAAAGGAAGAACGAAAATGTGAACTATTTGCCTCCTAATAAGTAACCTTTTTCTTGAAGACGCTGGTCTGCCTAAGACCTGGATTTCATCCAGGTTTTAAGCTGAGTATGTATCAGTGATTCCCAACTTTAGGTTTATAAGACCCCGGGGTCCCTCTGGTAATCTTAAGATTTCTTTTATTTTCCAAACAAAATGAATTTTAATTCTTTCGTTTAAAAAAGATAATGTTCATGTATGTACATGTGCAAATAGAGACCATATTTTAAAATGGATGTGTATCTCCAAGGACTTATGATGACCAGTTGGGTGTTACAACTCTGAAAAGGTAGGGAATCACTGACCTGGATTATCCCTGGAAGCCAGGAAGGAAAATAAAATAGTTCAGATTCTAAGCCAGTCTAAACTTTGCCTTTGCCAAGTAACACACGCCATGCTGGCCAGTGGCCATGAGAATGCAGCTGCCCACACGAGAAGGGTCTCCAGAAGCCCGGGCTTTATTGCTAACTACGGCTCTCAAAGGCCTTTATGGATGCCCTGCATAAATTCAACCTCCTGCCCTGGGAACCAAAGGACAAAGTATGTCTTCACCAATGTAAGATCTCCCTAGCCATCTTACTTCTTTCACACATTAGCGTATTCCCCAAACACCATAACTCTTTATCTCTACCTCTAGAAATTTCACATCTTAAACTGCATTTAAAATATAAACACAGAGAAATAATGACTAGAGAGATGGATAACAGAATCTGCTATCTTCTTGTGAACACACAACTGTGGCTAATAAGCTAATGAGACACCATAAAGACCTCTCTTTCACAAGAGTTACTTGTAGCCAGTAAATTATATTTTATGAAAACTACTATACAATTCAGACTTTAAAGAATAATGAGTAACCCTAACTGAATAAAGCCTAATCAGTAAAAGTTAGTTAAGTCTTAATGTAGTTAGAACGCTTAACATTCTAGGCAGTTTTAAATAGTAAACATTTTAGAGTCGCCACTGAAAGAAGCCAATGGAGCCGAAACCAACTTATCTCTAAACTTTTCTTCATGAAAACTTTCCACTAAAGTTTTCAGTTCAAACGTTTGTTGAAATGAACGAAACCATTAGAAAGTGATGCAATTCAGGTATCTTAAGTATTCATATCATGTATAACATATTGCTCATGAACCTAAAAGATTTATCCCTGCAGATCTTTGTATTTCCACCTTCTACATTGCTTTGCCCAGTTTTTATAGACATAACAACTTTCAATATCATAATAATTTGTTTCACATAGTTACTATGTAGAAAATCAAACACCATCACCAGACGGGAGTAGTGCTGAATGAAAACGTTTCAAATGGCTCAAGGTCAGACTGTGCCCGACACTTTGCAGCTACCCACCTTCCACTGCAAGGTTAGCGAACTTTTGCTCCTGTGTGCCAGCTTCGGTGGGAAGGGACACTCAGGTGCACAGCTGTGGGTGGTGAAGCTAACGGGCTCGGAGCAGGATCCCTTTACGGAATTGTACATGGCATATACCCTGAAAGCAAACAAAGACAGTCAGTGGCGGTGGCCATCGCGGAAGACCAGGGTTTTTATTTCAGGTTTGCACCAGGGCTTTCCACGGAAGAACAGAATTTATGTAGTACATGCCATGACTCTTTCTCTTACCTACTGGTCTTGTCCTAACTATGGCCAGCATCTCCAGGAGATAATGACCCCAGCAGGGAATGGGCCTCAACTCCTCTCCTTCCACCAATGGTCAGAACCCTCTGCCCCAATTAAGACAAGCAGGGTCTACTGACTGGGAAACAATATGCCGAAGAAGAAAATATCCCTGGGGCGCCTGGGTGGCGCAGTCGGTTAAGTATCCGACTCCCGACTCCTGGTTTCGGCTCGGGTTGCAATCTCATGGGTCCTGAGATTGAGCGCAGAGTCTGCTTGAGTTTCTCTCTCCCTCTCCCTCTGCTCCTCCAGTCCTCCCCTACCCCCTCTTTTTCAAATAAATTAATAAGAAAGAAAGGGAAAGAGGGAAAGGGAGGGAGGGAAGGAGGAAGAGAACGAAAGAGAGAAAGAGAGAAAGAGGAAGGAAGGAAGGGGAAAAGAGAGAAAAAGAAAGAACGAACGAATACATCCTTATTCCCAAAATGGTCTTTAAATATACATTGTAAAATCATCAAGCCACTCTCCAGCTGACTTTGTGTGGAAGGAGGCTGAAAGTAGAGTTCAGGGTTGGCTGAAAAGAGACAAGAAGTAGCACTAAGAGCCTACAAACTGGAGAGAGAAGTACAAACAATGGGATCTTTAAACTGTTTCGAACACTGCAGATATTTAGGTAGAAATATGGATGCTTCACACACAGAAACATGCTTGCTACTGCCAAGTGCATCTCTGACTCAACAAACATAATGTTCAGGTACAGTTTATCCATGTGAACATTTTACTTTTGCACCTGGCACCGAGATTAAAGCTGCGTACTCTACGCATTAAAATGCCTGGCTCAATGCTGAACATATGGGCACAATTTCTCCAGAGAAGTTATGAAGAAAAAGCATACAACGTACTATTATAAAATTATACTTCTTTCAAATAGCATAAAATAGGCTTATGTTGATTTTTTACCACCTTCTTTCCTATTTTTCCATTTTTCCTTAATATTGAGCATTAAAAAAAAAATCCAACTTGAAAATCTACTCTTTTAAAAAGACAACAAAGAAACTTTTGCTGCCTAAAAGAGATGCAAGGATTAAGCTAATCAGAGTTGGTAAATAAATCAAGCCCTTAATTCTTGAGGTCCCATTAAAGATAGAAGAAAACTCACAATCAAAAGGGGAAGTAAGCTTCCCAAAGCTACACAGCTAGAAAGTTGCCTCAACTGAACAGTCGTGGAAATCTAACCGCTAGACTCTACTGCCTACTGTCCTTACTCATCCCCAAATTAACGCTTCTCTGAACACCCACAATCTATCTCCCCTCTACCCGATGAACATAAACAATGGCTAGAGATAACAACATTATGGAAAACAGGACCTAATTAGGTATGTGATTTGCAAGGTCCTGTCTCCTCAAGATCTAACACAAAGAATTTATGAAGGTCATGCATGTTAAAAGTACTAATGCCTAGTTCCATCTTAAAAGGTGAGACACATATTTACTGGATATTTGACCTGTTTGCCTTATGGGAGGACACCACGACATCTGATCCAAACAAAGGGTACTTATTAGGATCTCTTCACCCAACCTAATGAAAAGAAATGTCCCTTTTTGCATTCACTGTAAGTAGGAACATGATATTATAAAAGTGAATGGTAGATTTGGCAAGATCATTTCTATGTATCAGGACAGGCTCACTGGGAGTTAAGTTACTTAAAATGAATCACAGAACATTCCAGACATGGGCAGGGTTCCTGCCTAAATTTTAATAGACTGGTTGGATTCTACAGCTGGTGGCTCATGGGTTACATCTGGCCCAAGGGAGGAAAAAAAAAATAAAATCACAGCCACCTATGCATGAATGGAAGGACACAGGCAATGGTCGGTACAGAAAGAGATAAGCAGACGTTACGCACTCCTAATGAAAGATAATGCCACTATCTATGAAACCTTTGCCAGAAAAACTAAACCTGTATTGGATTAAGCCTCTTTGCCACAAAACACAAAGAGAATATATTAAGCAAAACTACAGGGATGCAATCAGCCTAATTCATACTGCCAAAAATTCTACGGGATAAAAAAAAAAAATTATTCCAACAAATAAACTGCAAAGGGACAAAAAAGAAAGGGAGGGAAACCTACAGATGAAAAGAAATTTATGAGATACCAGCCGAAAGGAATATTCAGACCATGTCTGAATTTCAATTACAACAAACTGAAGAAACAAAGCCTTCATTTTTAGGACAGTTGAGGAAATGGAAACAGTCACTGAATTTTAAAGACATGAAGGAATTATCCTTTTTGCTTATTTTGGATGGGCATGTGATGATGGTAATGTGGTGCAGAGATGAAATATTATGATGTCTGGACTTCACAGCTGTGTGGGCAGGAGTAGTAGGTGGAGGCAGCAAGGAAATGAGAAGTTGGGCAATGGGTCTATGAAAATCCATCAGTTACTGTCTACTTCTGATTGTATCTGAAAATTTCTGAAATAAAAAATTAAAGATCAAGCCAACACTTAAAGTTCTGGAGATCTCTCATTTAGAAAAATGAACCTCTGGTTTCTCTCAAAACTTAGAAGTTCTACTAACACAGCTGCATACTTGCATGGTAGTAACCAGACAGAGAGGTGGGGCAGGTGCTGTCCAGTTCAAGTCCTCACCACTTCCTGCTGTTTCCTCAACATGGAGATGGCTTCTCAGCTGCCTTGGACCCAGCTCTTGACCCACTTAGGTTCCTAGGAGGAATTTCACTTCACAGTCACTGGGCATGTGTTTACAAACTCAGACTCTATTTGGGTTGACTGGGTCCTGAATGTTCGCACAAAGTCAGCCTCCAAATCTACATGGCAAATAGAGCAGAGGAAAGGAAGCAGGGACAAGGGCCTACAAAGGGCTGGCTGACTGTGGTGAGTTATCTGCGGAGACCTGGACTCAGTCAAGTGCACTCTTGCTCTTTAATAAGATTCTGGGAGTCATAAAATCCACATTTATTAAGCTAGAGAGACAGGAGTGACTGAAGCTCCTGATAGCCAGGTTGGCAGGATGACTGCTGATGGGAGGAACAGAGGATCCTGACGAACAGAATAAAAATTTGAGGCTGTTGAAGATGCACAGTTGTACAAGCCACAAGGAGTTATTTTTCTTGTCTTTCAAATCAAAGAATGTTATAGTTTAAATCAGGACTCAGTGCTTTGCACTTGTAATAAAAGTCTGTCCTCAAAGGAAATGAGATCCATTTTACATGGCAATGTAAACGTGCTGCATATAATATCTAAAAGCTGACATGATATCTAAGTATACCACGATTATATCCGTCAATTAAAGTTGTTCAGTAAATAGATAGCAACTAACTGTTCCGTTTTTAGCAGGCACTTTTACAGAAAAGTCTCTGGAAATGACGCTTTATTTTTAAGAACATTGTAATAATGTTTTTCATAGGATGGTGATGTGTTTCTCTTAAGTATCATCATGTGAAAGGAGGATCAGTTTCTTGGGTTAAACAAATCAGCAAACAGTTCAGTTCCTTTTGCATTTATCCCAGCCAAGAAGAATACATTTTTCTAATGATATGATTAATCTTGTGTTGGGTTTTCACATTTGTTTCAGTTTAAATACTGACTAAATGCTCATGAAACAGGTGCTCCTAAAATTTCAGAAATTCGCCTCCAACTTCCTCCAGCACATCTGTGACATGGTAGGAGCCACGGTTTCTAGTCAATAACACCTATTTCATAATTCTGTACTGAGACGGTCAACCATATTTTTGGAAATATTTCATCATGTAATTTTTCTGAGAAATGTTACTACGTGATATCATTTCTGGACAATTTCTTTGCCAAACTGTTAATGCCAATGACTGGAAAACTGCTTCAAAGTTTGTCATGAAATTGCTACCCATTCCACCACTCAAATTCCTGATTATCCCATCGTTGTTCTTGACTTCCACAATAAAACGGTTAGTTCAATGTCAGTATTAATTCTAAAACTACCAATTAGGAATATGGTATTTTTGTGTATAAATATCCATACAAATCAATGAATATAAATGTTTATGTATATAAAGTTATATACTTACATTACAAGTATTATAAAATAGTTATTCATGTATGATGTATGTACTGGATTTTTCTCATTTCTCCCTCTTCAACATATAATCACACACACACGATCTTTCTGTCTCTGTCTTTCTCACACACACACATACAAATAAGATTCTGTATTGGTGGCTTTATACAATAAATAATACAATGCCCTATATGGAAGCACCAAATGTTAAATACACTTTGGTAATTACAAATTGATTTCTTTTAAACATTCAACCAACATTAAAATGCAAAAAGCAATTTGTGTTAGAACTTGGTAACAAATATAAAAGTGATGACTTTGGTAAGAATCTAACCCAAGACCCAACACCTAAATTTTTCAAATTAACATAATAGGAGTATTACTTTCCTCAATCACCAGGAAGAAAAAAAAGGCTGAATAGTTAGATGTGAAGAAATTAAACACAAAAACTCATAGCAAAAAATGAGTATGAAAAAAAAAATCTTTAAAACCTAATATGTCTCAATATACAATTTTTCATGTGGGATTTGGCCTAAATGGCATGGCAAGTGCCAATCTAAACAGCCATAGAGCCATGACTGGTAGCACTGTCTGGAGGAGTCCCGATCCCAGTGGGCTGATAGGGAGAGGTCACGAGCTATCCTGCCCAGGAAGTGAGGCTAGCTAAGCACCAGTCAACGACAGCACCCATGATCAAGAGACTGCTACTTTAAAAAAGTTTTTTTTTTTTTTTAAAGATTTTATTTATTTATTTGACAGAGAGAGACACAGCAAGAGAGGGAACACAAGCAGGGGGAGTAGGAGAGGGAGAAGCAGGCTTCCCCACGGAGCAGGGAGCCCCATGTGGGGCTTAATCCCCATGGACCCTGGGACCATGACCTGAGCCGAAGGCAGACGCTTAACGACTGAGCCACCCAGCCCCACCCTACCCCCAAAAAAGGTTTGTACATCTGATTGGTGAACTCAGGCAATACTCACTAACAGGAGGGAGAAAAAGAGTTGAAAATAGGAAAAAGCACGGAATGAAGATACAGAACGATCTGAATGAAGGGGATGGAATCAGAGTGGCAAAAATCGAAGGCAACAAGAAATATAAGAAAAGAAGCCCGAGACAGGACTTTAGTATATGACATGAAAAAGAAACCCTTCACTCTACTGAAGGTGGTACAGGGAGACTTCAGCAGGCCTTCATTGAAACGTGCAGTGTTAGGAACTGGAAGGAGAAGGTAGCCTGCTTGGAACTGCTGAAAGAACTCTCTCGTTTCCATCAGTGGCTCTACAGACTTGCACCAGGTGACACTTTCTAATTGGTAACACACAAATAAATAAAAATGGCAATGAATGTAATTGCTTATTTTGCAGTCATCCAGTAATGGAATTCTTCTGCAGCTTCTATTATGGAAATTTAGTGAGAAAATTATTTCCATCCAGACTTTTGAGGCATTAGAGGTGAGTGTTAAATTTAAAATTATATTTGAGGCTACTGTGTTTGATATGAGCTTACTTTCTGGAACTAAGACGTTGTGAATGTTAACTCAGCTACATCATAAAAAGAGATTTTGCTCCTCTTTTTTTTTCAGGTGCCAAGTATGACATATCTTTATCCCAATAAAATAGTAAGTGAGGGGCGCCTGGGTGGCTCAGTTGGTTAAGCGACTGCCTTCAGCTCAGGTCATGATCCTGGGGTCCCTGGATTGAGTCCCGCATCAGGCTCCCTGCTCAGCAAGGAGCCTGCTTCTCCCTCTAACCCTCCCCCCTCTCATGTACTCTCTCTCTCTTTCTCGCTCTCTCAAATAAATAAATAAATCTTTAAAAAAATAAAATAAAATAGTAAGTGATATGGTCAAACCATGCACAGGCTTTGAACCTATGTCATGAAGTTTTTTATCATCAGAGCGTGGAAACACCGCAACATCTTGGAAAAACAAAACAGAACAAACAGAAACAACATTTATACACTTTACAGATTTAGAATAGGTTGGCACATATACTTCATTTCTTCTCACACCATCTTCCTGAGGCTGGTATCCTTCTTATTCTCATTTTATAAATGAGAAAACAAGGCCATTTAAGTTTAAATGGCTTGCCTAAGCACACACCCTTACTAAGGGACTG